TATATATGATCCATAAGTGAAATGGTTTGTAGATACGAAAGTGGAGGTAAATATGTAAGAGGGCAATAAATGTGTAAGAAGACAGTATAATGTGTAGTATGTATGATGACAATAATGGTAACATTATATTATATATATATATATATATATATATATATATATATAATGTTAATTAAGAACAAAAGGGCAATAAGTTTGGTAAAGGAGTAACACTAGTAAATAAAACAATAAATGGTCAGTAAATTGGTTTAGTACGACATTGATGGGAATCGGTAGGTAACAAGGGTATGCAATACTAATCAGAAATATATTTATTCACTAATACATAATAATTATGAGCAAGACAGTTACCATATTTTTAGGAAGACTAAAACATGAAACTACTTTCGTTTAAATCTCGTTATTAGGAGGGCAACCGTGGAATTAAAAACAAAAAAAAAAATAACTAACCATGCACGTATTAGAGTAGGAAATAAACTGATGGAGTCATAAATTGGGAAATGAGAAATGTTTTAGTCATATGAGAGACAATTTTCTCTATAATCTACTTTACACAGAAGAAATGGGACTCTATAATTCCTCTTCTAAAAGTTGAGTAGTAATTAGTAGCATTTTTAAATAACATTGTTTTTATAACTTAGTAATGCTTGGTTCTACATTAAGAGATTGTTCTTGTTTTATATACAAGCTGAGACAATACGAGATTGGATTGCATTTATATGTCAAACTAAAATCGATATAATTCAAGGTTCATTGTGCATATAAATAAATAGAGAATAATTCTACATTTTGCCTTTATGCAGATGTTGGGGGTTAGGGTTATATCAAAAAAATCAATTCCCATTATATTTCAAGGTGATAAACTTGAAAGCATTTCTAGTGTTAATGAGGTAATTTCTTCACACTTTGGATACTCGGGTGCATATTTTTTATTTTTTTATTTAAGGAATATTGAGATCTTGTGTTTGTTACTATTGACATTTAACCACTCTTTATAACGTAGGCATACTTCTTTTAGTTTTATGGATGCAGGGGAAGACAATACAACAAGCTAAGCGCTTGATATGCATAAAAGGCAGTCGTATACTTGATATTCAGTAATTGCTTGATCTAATCTATGTGTGAGTAGGGGTGACAACGGGCTGGATTTATACCGGGTGAAGGCTCATCCGTCGTCCACCCGTTAATTTTTCATAGTCCATCCACCCGTCCATCATCCATTAAACTCTACATCCACATCCAATTCATCCATCATGAACGGTTTATCGGGTGAATCGGTGAGTAACGAGTGAATATAAATGGTCAAACTTGAAAGACAAAATAAATAAATTATAAAGAGAAATCATGACAAAAATTAAAGATTCATGAAAAATAACTACAAAAACTTGAGCAATTAAGTACATTACAACAATTAATTCACTACCGATGATAAAGAAAGAGTTGATTGTCAATTCAAACAAAGAAAGAACTAGTTGTCAAACAAAATAGATATAAAGATTCTTCAAGTCATCAATTCTACATTTCTGCATCAACACAAAACTATATTTGCAGTTTAACTGTCACTTCTTGAAACTCTACAATTGTCTTTATTTCACCAATTCATAGATATGTGTCTTCTCCATCCTATCATTATTGACAAAAAACATAAAACTCATTATATAAAATTCACTGCCATTGCCTAGAGGGAGAATAAAAAAAAAGAATTTAATCATATTAATATTAATTATTATTATTATTATTATTAATTTATATTATTAAATAGATATTATTATTATTATATATTTATACGCGGGTCAGCGGGTGCGGGTGGATGGAGCGGGTGATGGGTTGGATGAGCGTTCATCCACACCCGATCCAACCCATCTTTCAATCCACCCGTCATCCATTTTTTATCCATATTTCTTCGGGTTTTCGTCCATATTTTCGGTTCGGGTTGACCGGGTATTCGTGGGTGCGGGTGATATTGACAACCCTACGTGTGAGGGATGTGGATATTCAAATCGGTGTATGTAAGTAGGTACTCATCCCTTCTTTTACTTCTGATGTGTGTCTCTAATTAATCAAGCTCCTCGGTTTTTTCTTTAAAATAGAAAGTAAAAGTTAACTTCCATTTAAAAAAAAGTTGAGTGGTCACTTTGGTAAAGCTATAATTTATTTTGGTACATTATGATTTTGATATACCTCGGTAGATTACAACTTTGTAGAATAAGCTAGGTATGTTGTGTTATTTTTAAAAAACCATCAACTTTCTTATCATTTTTTGTTACAGGTTTTAACTTTTAACTATATTCTAAAAGAGTTGATAATCTGAAAGTGGAACACTATCAAAAACAAAAAATAAGAGCTACTTGTATTCTTTATTTGACCATTGCAAAGATTTTATTAATTAGGAACTGAAAATATATTTACACGTACTCGTGTATATTCAGCTATTTCTTCACCTAGATCAATTCTACTCTTTAATTTCTCGAATGTAAATTTGGATTTCTTTATGTTTCCAGGATAATAAAGAGTGGGAACAACAATTCAATGAATGAAGAAGTATCCATATGTTCACTTAGACTATGATGAATTATTGGTGTACAAGTTTTTACTACAAGTCACTTTAATGGGAGATACAAAGTTGTTCTCCATGAGATCGACATCATGTTATTTCCCGTAACGTGTTTCAATGCTTCAACTTTTGAATGATTGTTATTTGTTAATTGTTACCATAAAGTAGAGCTTACTACTTCCGGATAATGTATTTCATTAAATTAAGTTTAATGAAAATATTTTCCTAGGTTGTGGTGGTTATGTGTGTTATTTTGATGTATTTGACTGTGTGCATGTAAGTGTATAACTTTCGGTGTGTAAAACATGTTGGCTAAATATAATTAATTCAAGCAAAGTAACAATATTCTATAAATGTAACACTATATTTAGAAGACTATGTGAAGAGGATAACTTTAGTTTTTTCAAAGATTTAACTTTTAACTATTTCATTAGTGAAGTATGATTATTTCACTTAGCCTAACAATGGAGTAGATTAACAAAGCATTATTGCTTTTCAACACAAACTTGGATGGAATCCAAACTTTTCAAAGAGGGCAAATTAATAGGGCGTTTCAAATAAGAATATAAATTTGTGCATCTATAGTTTTGAGAATTCATAAAAAAGCAGTGAAAATTGAGGACACCTTAACTTCAATGAAATAAGTAAAACTTTTAATTGCAACTTCCTGAAAACTGAAAAATGATACTAACTCGAAGTTCATTGGCATATTTTGATCTTGTAAAGTGTCTGGCTGCATTCCACTCTTTTTTAATTCAAGGATTTCAACATTTCTCTATTTCAGTTATCCAACTCATCATTGTTCTTCATTATTTAAACACCATTTTAATTTCTTTAATCTATTGAATTAATTATGCCTGACATGATTTTTTACTATCAATGTTCACATTATAATAACTGGTTAAAACTTAAAACTATTAATTGATTAATTTTAGGAGTGCTGGGTTGAATACTCTAATCAACTAAATACATTAATGGGAAATGAACATTATCAGGATAGTGAAATTTCATTAAAAATCTCTTTAGTTAATTCACCCACTACATTGCTACACGGAAGAGTTAAAGAATTTAGGATAATTTGATTTTGCACTTTTTACTGTCTTAATAAAATTACTGCGAGAGTAGAGTAAATTTAAGACAATGTAATCAACTAAGTCGTGTATACGAATAGATGATTATCATTTGTAAACCTTTCACACACCTAAAAGTAACTAATTTAATTAGTTAAATCTTTATTGTTATGAACGTCAAAATAAAAATACTCTTAGCCCACGCCTAAATTTCTCTATATCATTGATTGTTAAATTATCAAGTATTGTGATTGATTTTACTCCCTAACAATTTCACGTTTATAAAAACAAGATAAAATTCAGATCACTTAGCTCCATTGCAAAATGTTATCAATTTGCGATTAGCTAAAAATCAACCATCAATTCTATTTTCCTTGCGAGTCATTTACTAGCGGAACGATACTCATTTACTCTATACTATATCAATACAAGCCAATAAAAAACATCAATTCCTTTCACATGTTTACACCATTTCACACTGCACATTTTGACACGTCAGTAGGGGTAGGGGTGTTAAGGTACGAGTAGGTTGAGATAGGGGGGTAGGGTAGGTTCGGGGTAGCGAGTAGGGGTATCAGTGTACATGGGTGGGTAGGAGTCAGGGCAGGGTCAGGATCAAGGTGAGAGGTAAACATGGGGTATAGGGACGAGGTGGGGTAAGCCAGGGTTGGGGTTGAGGGTAAGGGTGTGGGGGTAGTGGACCGAGGGCAGGTCACGTGTAGGGGTTACGGGGAGGGGTGTGGGTGTAGGGGTGGGGTAGGGGGTAACAATGAGGGTAAGGGCAAGAGGTAGGCGTAAAGGGTAAGGTAAGGATAAATGTAGAAACCAGAAAAACATAAAGTGACGCTTACTAAGCGTCATTTTAACCATCTGTTTGACTTAATAAGCAGCTTCTTAAGCAACTCGTGTATTTATTTCACTTGTCTTACTAACCCAACTATGTTTTTAGGAGCAAAGTAAACGCGTTCTTAGTTGTTTAGTTAGAATTAGGCATGGGACCGGTTCGATTCCTAGGCAAAATATACGGAACCGTTTGAAAAATATCAAATCATAATAACAGTTCGGTTCTCATAATTTTTTTATAGAACTGATATGGAATCGAACCATTTTTAACGGTTCAGTTCTTGTCATTTAACAGATCTTAGTTTCAAAAGTTTTACATATATCACCATTAAATTTGTACCAAAAAACATTCAACGTTTGAAACTTATACATACCAAACTGAAAATTTTAGTAAATAAAGCAAAAAAACATGATGACTACGATCAATAATTATGATTTTGATTCAACAAAATCATAATTATTGATCCGATTTCCCTATTATTGATTTCTAAGTCACGGCCCTGCTTAGAATTTTTTGAAGCATAGTTGGTGATTAGATACGTAGTAGTGTAGTACGATTGTAGATTCGAGATTAGGACTAGGCAATTGATTGGAATTTTGAATGCATAACAAAGATGTGCCAAAATAACAAGGGCATGAAGTCCTAAAAATTGTCAAAGCGATCTGAGCACCACTCTTCGCGAAATCACAGCTGCCCTGACGAGTCTGGGCGGAGCTTCCCTCTCGCCACCTTCATAATTCACCCGCCTGCAGAAAAGACAGACCCTTTACCCCATCAATTTGCTGTAACAACTCCCGAATCTGCCTGCCGACTGCTTTTACCCCGATGCCCCTTTTAGCCCGTCGGGTGTGCATCTGACCCGACCCAGCTACATCATTCTTGCCACTTCCGGCAAATAAAAACTCCACTTCAAACTCCCCACTTTTATCCTAACTAGCAACTAACACGGCCGGAACCTCTCCTATCCAGACGCGTTTCCGGCCATTGACCTCATAGCCGGCCAACCATACATCACCTGGAGTCCCCCGCTCGTGTGCTAGGCGTGTCCGCGCATCCTACGCGCGAGTTCTCACAAGGTTTGCCGTATCCGTACTTCATAGCTTTTGCGAGGTATTGTGTTTTGCAGTTGGGGAAAAAATAAAAAAAAATAAAAAAATAAATAAAAACCAATACATTGTGAATTGTTAAAAAGGAGAGGATGAGTAGTACTGCGATGAGTGAGCCAGCTAACACAGCTACTCGTACAGTATATGGAGTATCAGAACCAATATCTACTGGTGGCCCGACAGAGATTGATGTAGTGAAGAACAACGAATTGGAAAAAGTTGGTTCATTTACTCCTTCCTTAATTCTCAATTATTGTGTTTTTGCATGCTCACCTGCTTGGGTTCTTACCTCAGGGAAAGGTTAAGTAAATTACATGTGTTGCATAGGGATATTGGATCAATTAAGAGAAAAAAGAGATTTGCAATCCCGGAGGCTGAGAAATACTGAACTTTGAATTTTATAATAACCATCAAGGTTAGAAATTAAAGCTATGAAGTGTATGAAAAATGGAAAACAATTAAAGGTACTACACACAAGAGCACTAGTAAGTACTGAATACTTTGTGAGGCATATTCATTCACCGGGGTTCTGATATCTGGAAATTGACCTGCTAGTACTCTCTGGGATTACAAGTTTTCCCAAGAAATAATGGGTCTGCCAGGATTTAACAAATGTAGAGTGCTACAAATGAAATACATCTCTTTGATTTTATAATCACTTGATATAAAAGGAAGCAGTTGCTTATAAATGTTACCCCGTGTTATATATGCGTATATAAGAGGTCTGTCATTTTTTGGGTGTTAACCTTGTAATTTTAGACAAGGGATTTTTATTTAGTCTATAAAGCTTGTACTGGCTGGTAACATTATGTTCCAAATAGGCATTAATGAAGATATCATACCGTGAGAAGTTTGGTGCTCAATTTCTGATAAAAGGTTTATAATCAGTTTCTTGCAGATGCTGGTCTGTATGAAAGTCAAGAAGAAGCCATTAGAAGGGAAGAAGTCCTCGGGAGATTGGATCAGGTTGTTACTTTTCATTTGTTTAGAATTTCTGTTTCGAGATTTATGCATAGTTTGCTAATTGTTGGGAGTACAGATTGTAAAGAAGTGGGTAAGAAATGTCAGTCGTGCGAAAGGACATAGTGAACATCTCGCACAGGAAGCAAATGCAAAAATTTTCACATTTGGTTCATACCGGCTGGGGGTATGCATTCTACGTAGCACTTTTGCTTTTCTATTTGTGTGTTTTCTCACGTTAACTAGAAGGAAATGTTGGTTTATTTATTTTGATCATCATGGATATGTGACCTTTTACATACCAAAATTTTCATTTACAATAACATATTCCCGTTCCAAATTTCTTGATTACTGGTGTAGATAAAATTTACCCATTCACCGAGTAAAACCACACTTTATAGTTGCTAACATTGAGCATTGTTTATTTCATTTCAATGTCTAATCGCTTTAAGTCTTTTGCACTTGTTATGCTGCATCATACTTCGTAAACTGGTCAACAGTTCCCAACTGCTCTTGTGACTTGTGAGTAACATTGCATCTGATATAATAATTAACACGAGCTTTCTGCTGTTACAAGTAGTGTTTATATGAACTCCTATGCATTTTTCATATGAAACTATGAAAGATTGAAAATTATGAAAATTAAATAGGAAAAGACAACGATATAATAATCCACTTTAATTTAATCTACATATATTTGAAGTTGGGAGCTGCTAGTAAGGCTTGAAGATGGTTTTATTGGGCATAATTAGATCTTCCCTTGTTTTCTAATAGAATACAAAAGGGTGGATAGGCCTTTGTGATTTGAGTTAGTCAGTTGATGACATATGCATTAAGTTAATGATAATAAGTGTATTATTTTATTCATTGGTAAATCCTTTTATTCTATATATGATCCATAAGTGAAATGGTTTGTAGATACGAAAGTGGAGGTAAATATGTAAGAGGGCAATAAATGTGTAAGAAGACAGTATAATGTGTAGTATGTATGATGACAATAATGGTAACATTATATTATATATATATATATATATATATATATATATATAATGTTAATTAAGAACAAAAGGGCAATAAGTTTGGTAAAGGAGTAACACTAGTAAATAAAACAATAAATGGTCAGTAAATTGGTTTAGTACGACATTGATGGGAATCGGTAGGTAACAAGGGTATGCAATACTAATCAGAAATATATTTATTCACTAATACATAATAATTATGAGCAAGACAGTTACCATATTTTTAGGAAGACTAAAACATGAAACTACTTTCGTTTAAATCTCGTTATTAGGAGGGCAACCGTGGAATTAAAAACAAAAAAAAAAATAACTAACCATGCACGTATTAGAGTAGGAAATAAACTGATGGAGTCATAAATTGGGAAATGAGAAATGTTTTAGTCATATGAGAGACAATTTTCTCTATAATCTACTTTACACAGAAGAAATGGGACTCTATAATTCCTCTTCTAAAAGTTGAGTAGTAATTAGTAGCATTTTTAAATAACATTGTTTTTATAACTTAGTAATGCTTGGTTCTACATTAAGAGATTGTTCTTGGTTTATATACAAGCTGAGACAATACGAGATTGGATTGCATTTATATGTCAAACTAAAATCGATATAATTCAAGGTTCATTGTGCATATAAATAAATAGAGAATAATTCTACATTTTGCCTTTATGCAGATGTTTGGGGGTTAGGGTTATATCAAAAAAATCAATCCCATTATATTTCAAGGTGATAAACTTGAAAGCATTTCTAGTGTTAATGAGGTAATTTCTTCACACTTTGGATACTCGGGTGCATATTTTTTATTTTTTTATTTAAGGAATATTGAGATCTTGTGTTTGTTACTATTGACATTTAACCACTCTTTATAACGTAGGCATACTTCTTTTAGTTTTATGGATGCCAACAACTCGGGCGAGCCATGGGTGCCAGGCCGAGTAGTGGAACAACTTTGAGCAAGAACCGGACGGGAGTGCCCAATGCAAGCATGGGGCATGGTGGGGCGAGTGCAAGCAACGCGCCATCCGTGAACCAAGGCAAGACCCAAGCTAGGGTCTACGCGATGACGGAAGCGGATGCATGTGCCAACCCGGACTCCGTTGCGGGTAATTCCTCAAACTCATGATTTATACTCTACTGAAAACAATAGGAGCGTTTGCACTTGTAAATTTATAACCCCGACGAGTTTAGTCAGGCTTGGATGGAAAAAGGGGACGAGAATCCTCGCCCTGGGCGAATGCCGCCCGGCTTTGACGGAAGCTGCCCGGCTTTCGTCCGAATTAATTAAATAAATACTACGGCGCTGAAGAGCGGCCGACGTGCGTGGAACTCGGCCTGCCAAAAGTGAAAGCAGCCCGGGCTTCGTGAAAGCCGCCTGGCTTTCGTAATTAATTAAATGAATTAAACTACGGCGCCAAGAACCGGCCGGCTTTCGTGGGAACCGGTTGACGTTCTCTTTATTGAAGAAATGCTACCCAGACGAAAATCGGTCGACGTTTGCAAAAACCGGCCGGCTTTCGTGATTTATTTATTGAATTATTCTACGGCGATGAAGACCGGACGGCTTTCACCAAGACCGGCCGGCTTACGTAACGAAGAGTTTGGGCTGAACGAAAACCGGCCGGCTTTTATGAAAAGTGGTCGGCTTTCCCCTGTTAATGCACCGGGTCGGTTTTTGAGAGTGAGAACCGGGCGGGTTGTGAAGGGGTGTTGATCGACTATCATCTGAACTTAATTGGTGCACTCTATAACGTAAGAAACGAGTCCATTACTTAGGAAATGTATCTTACATTACTTATGAATGTAGGAACACTAAAGGTAAACGGGAGAGACGCAAGGATTCTTATTGATACCGGGGCACAACGATCATTTGTGAGTGAGGCGTTGACCAGCGGATTCAACGAACCACTTGTACCGATGACCCAAACCATATTGGTATCCACACCTTTGGGGGATGACATTGAAAGAGATAGCCACTATCCGTCGTGTGAGGTGGAAGTGGAGGGCCAAACTTTGACGTGCGACTTAGTACCACTGAGCATGATTGAGTTCGACGCGATCCTCAGAATGGATTGGCTAGAAAAGCATCATGCTAGGGTCGATTGTTACACGAAGGTTCTTGAACTCGAAAGCGGCAAAGGATTGACCTTACGCTTTGAGGGGATAGGGGCAAATCAAACAGTTGTATCATATCCGCTGTGAGGGCAAGGAATATGATGAGAAAGGGATGCCACGCGTATCTAGCATACGTGGTAGATAAAACCAAAGAAGAGCCGGACATCAATGATGTGTGAGTTGTGTGCAAGTATCCGGATGTCTTCTCAAAAGACTTACCGGGGCTTCCACCCGATAGGGAGATTGAGTTCGTGATTGAGGTTGAGCCCGACACCAAACCAATCTCTATACCGCCATACCGGATGGCACCCGCAGAACTTAACGAGTTGAAAACCCAATTGCAAGAGCTATTGGATAACGATTTCATAAGACCAAGCCACTCCCTGTGGGGGGCACCGGTTCTATTCGTGAAAAAGAAAGATGGGACATTTCGAATGTGTATTGACTACCGTCAACTAAACAAAGTCACGATCAAGAATAGGTATCCCTTACCTAGGATTGATGACTTGTTTGATCAGCTCCGAGGAGGAACAGCTTTTTCGAAGATTGACTTGAGGTTGGGGTACCATCAGTTAAAGATAAAGGAGGATGACATACCGAAGAGTGCTTTCCGCACAAGGTATGGTCACTTCGAATTTCCTAGTCATGTCGTTTGGGCTAACAAACGCCCCGGCGGCATTCATGGACTTGATGAACCGAGTATTTCATAAATACTTGGACCGATTTGTGATCGTGTTCATAGATCACATCTTGATTTACTCAAAGAGTGAGGAGGAGCACGAGGAACACTTAGTACTTGTTCTTGAGACACTACGAGAGAAGCAACTCTATGCTAAATTTTCTAAGTGTGGATTTTGGATATAGGAGATTGGCTTTCTCGGGCATGTGGTTTCGGGATCGGGAATTGCTGTTGATAACAAGAAGATTGAGACCATCACCGAATGGGAAAGGCCAAAGAACGTCAAGGAAATTCGTAGTTTCCTCGGATTGGCGGGCTATTATAGAAAGTTCGTGGAGAAATTCTCAGTTTTGGCATCACCATTGACAAAGCTCACTCGAAAAGGGGCTAAGTTTGTATGGGATGACTGATGTGAGAAGGGATTCCTAGAGCTAAAGAGGAGATTGACTGAGGCACCGGTACTTGCATTACCCAAACAGGGTATGGGGTATGATGTCTATAGCGATGCGAGCATCCAAGGGTTGGGATGTGTGTTGATGCAAAATGGGAGGGTGATTGCCTATGCTTCACGACATTTGAAGAAGCATGAGGTAAATTATCCTACTCATGATTTAGAGTTGGGAGCTGTGGTGTTTGCACTGAAGATATGGAGACATTATCTCTACGGGGAGACGTGTCATATATACACTGACCACAAGAGCTTGAAATACGTGTTTACTCAGAAAGAGTTGAACATGAAACAGAAGGGGTGGGTGGAGTTTATAAAAGACTACCATCTAGTTATTGAATACCATCACGGTAAAGCCAACGTGGTGGCGGATGCCTTGAACCGAAAGAGTTCGTCTGGGGCATTGTTGACTAGTTTGAGGGCATTGAGAGCCCAACTGGAGGTATCTAGCGATGATGCCTTGTTAGCTAGATTCGAGGTGAGACCCACATTACTTGATGAGATCAAAAAGGGTCAAGAAACTGACGAAGAGCTTGTGAAGGTCCGTGAACGCATGCTAGCAGGACCGGTGGAGGGTTTCAAGGAAAGAGACGATGGTCTTTTATTATTCTGTGACCGAGTGTGTGTACCGTCGGATGAGGAGCTCCGAAAGTCCATCTTAGAGGAGGCCCATTCATCGGCGTATGCCATGCACCCGGGAGGTACGAAGATTTACCGTGATTTGAAAGAAAGTTACTGGTGGTCTGGTATGAAAAGGGAAATAGCCGAATACATCAGTAGATGTCTTACTTGTCAGCAAGTTAAGGCAGAACATCAGCATCCAGCTGGGTTATTACAGCCACTTTCCATTGCTGAATGGAAATGGGAACACGTGACGATGGACTTCATGGTAGGGCTACCACGGACGGCCAAGAATAATGATGCCGTATGGGTTGTGGTTGATAGGCTCACGAAGAGTGCACATTTTCTACCTATCAACACCACCTATGCAAGTGAGAGGTTAGCCAAATTGTATGTGGATGAGATCGTGAGGCTACACATGGTTCCAATAACCATTGTATCCGATAGAGATCCACGATTCACATCACGATTTTAGCCGAAGTTCCAAGAATCTATGGGAACCAAACTGAAATTTAGCACTGCTTTTCATCCACAGACGGATGGACAATCTGAAAGAGTTATACAAATTCTGGAAGATATGTTGAGAGCTTGCGCATTGAAGTTCCAAGGAAGTTGGGACAACCATTTAGCACTCGTGGAGTTTGCCTATAACAACAATTATCAGGCGAGCATTGGCATGCCTCCATACGAGGCATTGTATGGGAGGAGATGTCGTACACCTTTGTATTGGGACGAGGTTGGCATTGCCAAACTCGAGAGCACGGAATTGGTGGAGATCACAAAATCAAAGGTAAGAATGATCCGCGAGAGACTTAAGGCGGCACAGGATAGACAGAAGAGCTATGCCGATAAGCGCCGAAGAGCCTTAGAATTTAAGGTTGGAGATGAGGTATTCTTGAAGGTTTCACCTTGGAAAGGAATCATTCGATTTCAGAGTCGAGGGAAACTTAACCCACGCTACATAGGGCCATTTGTAATTCTTGAAAGAATTGGGGCCGTAGCATACCGATTATAGTTGACTCCGGAATTGGAGAAAATACATAATGTATTCCATGTGTCTGTGCTTAAGAAGTATATTCCGGACCCATCTCATGTATTAGAGAAACCACCCGTGGAAGTACGGGAGGACTTGAACTATGCCGTGCAACCGGTAAGAATACTTGATAGGCAAGTAAAGAAGCTACGGAGAAAGAAAGTTCCAATGGTTAAAATCCTTTGGAAAAGTGACCGAGTTGAGGAAGAAACTTGGGAAACAGAAGCTTTGATGAAAGAACAATATGCATTCCTATTTGAGTAGGCATTGTGAATTTCGGGGACGAAATTCCCGTTAAGGGGGGGTGAACTTGTGACACCGCTCCCGGATGTACTTGAATTTGAAATTTGATATGTAATTGAATTTTCTATCAGATAAAAATTGTGTAACAGACTGGTGTATTTAATTAATGCGCGATTAATTAAATTATTTATCGGACCCATGATATTGAGAATGGGCTACTAAATACTTAGTTGGGTCATCATAATAACTATAGAAGCCCAATAAAATGCCAACCGAGGTTGAGGAAATATTTGGACAACCCAAGTGCTATTTTGACTCAACCTGCCAGAAATAGCGGGAATAATTGGGAGGAACTTTCTGCACCCAAGTGGGGCTTTTCCTACATGTCTTGAGACTGTAAACAATTGAAGTGGGGCAAATGGGGGATGGGTTGTGCGGACAAACCAAGGAGGAAACCCCCTAGAGACAAATTCTACACACAAATGACCCCATGCATGTCAATTTGAGAGTAAATTGATAGGAGAGATGCCATCCCTACCAATCCTTACTCTAGCCTCATCCGCACAAGCTCATCCACAAAAGAAAGAGAGAAAGCTCTGGGGTTGACCTTCACAAACATCAAGCTCAAGGTTGGAAGGAGCAAGAGGAAAGAAAACCCAACACAAAAGGTTAAGGATTTGAGGTAAGAACACAATTATTATCCTTTAGCCAGTGTTATTCTTGTATGATTTTTAAGAAATCATATGGTGGATTAAACATGATGTTCTACACGTTTAAAAGTGTAGAATATTGTTATAAAGGGGTGGTATTTAACTTAGAAGAGTCGTGGAATCGATATGAGTTGAAACCGCCGGAAACCGCCACTCAAAGGGAGCTGTTCGTAGTTGCAGACCATGAAAGCCGCCCACCTTTTGCAAAAGCCGGCCGGCTTTCGTCTGCTATCCAGATTTTCCATTTTTAATCAGTTTAGAACAGGGATTGATCGAAGGGCTTAACAAAGGCAACTATTGTAGCACTTCATAAGGTGAGGATGGCTGACTATATTGCTTAAAATTAGTGAGTTAATGATTTCATGAGATTACCTAAGGTAATTAAATGTGTTTTTATGGATTATTATTGATTAATAATGCCTAAGAATGAGAAGACTTTTGTCTATAAGGAAAAGGAGCATGATATACAAATTTAGGAGTAAATTGTGTATGATCATGTGCTATGAGTATGTTGACTTGATAATGGAATTAACTATGAAATTTATGTTGAAATATACTTTTTACTTCATATAAGAATATATTAATGATTGAAAGTGATATTTTGTATATTGATATAAAGATGATATTTTCAATGAAAAATCAGTTGGGCATTTTATAAATGACCATAAGTGGAGAACTTGGTTTTGTTGGAATTAATTGGACTAGTATTAATATACTAGTTGGACATTAAAAGTGAAATGTTGCTAAAATTGATCCTAAGGTTGGATTGTGAAATGTTATGCCTTAAGTAGTCTTAAGAGATGCTTTAAGGTAGGAAAGTATGAACTTTAAGTTATACTAGGGGTAGGCCATAAGGGATGCCCAAGATAAATTGAATAATTAATTGATCCTAGATATAGGATTGGCCTACGGGCGTGTTCGGTAGTCTTTGAGGATAGCCGGTTGAATTATGGGAATAAGTAAGGACCATGGCCCTTCCCGACTCTAGAGAGCGGGATTGGATAGCATGGACTTGCATCGTGATCACGGGTTAGGGTGGAATCTGAATTGGAGACCTAACTAGGCTCCGACAGCGGTAACACATAAGATAGGACCCCGAAGGGCCTTACCTTCCTACGGGATGATGGGTATGAGTCCAGGGGCGGGATGTTGAAGTCCGAACGGAGGGCCTCGTGAGGTCTCGGACAGCGGTAGCGAATCCCGTAGAAATAATAAGACCAACGGGTTGGGTTGTACAAATGATAAATGCAAAGAAATATATAAGAAGGGCCGCGTGCCGACAAATAAATGAATTTACCTATTATAGAGATAATAAGTGGGAAATATAAATTATTATTTATATTATGATATCACCCTATTTTGAGGGTCTTAGAAATTAAAACGTTGATTACACTCGGTATAGTTGTCATTGTACTTGTCAAATGCTTCCAAGTACTGACATCCCCTTCACGGGGGAGGCCACCTCACAGTTTCAGGTACGAGTAGAAGCTTGCTACCATCGCCCGTCGCTTCGGGGAATTTCAATAGAGAAGACTTGTTTCGTGCTTCCTCTAATCTGTTTTAAAAACACTTATGTTAATGCTCATGGATATTATTTTTGAATAATTATCTGGGGGCTTGTATGCCCATGTTTGCCAAAGTGTGGCATAAACACTCGTATTAAATGCTTCCGCTGTTTTAAATGAATGTTTTACATTATGTTTGTTTATGGATGTACTATGTGTGAATGGTATTCAAGACGCCTTGTATAGTATGGATGAGTTGGACTGCGGTTGACTATTCGTACTGTACGGCGGATTGTTGACGTGTCCGGTAGGTCCGGGGCATGACACATGTCATCAATCACAACCCCTTGTCTACCCATGCACTTCTAGAGTCCAACTCAAGTACATCACTGTGCCATGGCATAGACCCAATTCCTAAGCAACCTATGCCTAGAATTGACATATCAATAATCTACCTTAGGACATCCTTAAGGACTGCCCATAACATGATCTTAGCTCCATACTAAATCAATTTAGTCATTTGAATCACATTCAAGTGCATCACTTACAATCAAGTCCTTAGAATCAATTCTTTAACAATTATAAATCATCATTAACTAGTATTTCAATACTATTAAGATTATTCTTATCAAATCAAGTATTCCATTTGTAAATCCCTACATATCTAGAAATATGTAGCAGCAACTTAAGTATCCAATGTAATACATAAATATTCATTTATGTATCTACACATTTCACACATGAGCAAAAATGCCTATTTTACACAATAGCTCATTAATAGTTCATTTAACTCTATTTTTATCAATATGATTTCAAATCATTTCTAATTTCATTCCTTATCCAATATATCAATATTTCATCAATAATCAATCATCATAATCCATGAAAACATGATTTAGACATTAATGTAATCTCATGCTTAACCTACAAGTTGTAAGCAACTAGATGTCGATCCTCACCTCAAATGAGCTTTGAACCTTTCCTTCTCAATCCAATGCTCAAAGATTCGGTCAAGGGAGTTTGATAACTGATTCCTTGATTAGAAATGAGTGTTAGACAGCCTCCTCAAAGTGCTAGCTCAACTCCTAACCAATGCTACAAAAACAGCCCCTAGAATGGACGTTTTCCGGCGAAATCGTTTCCTAACCTTTCAAGGTTGGTTCTAGGTTAGTATCTAACCTTTACATCAAAAAATTAATTTTTTAAGGGCACTTTATGCACCTGAAATAGTGTATAATAACTCCACCAATCCTTCATATCATTTGGAAAATGTAAGAAAGGTTTTGGGATTAAAACTCCTTTGGAGAGGAAAATCCGTTTCTGCGAGGTTGTGTTTTGTTCGCACGATTTGGAGACCTTACACAACTCTGTTTGATGCAAAACAGACCTTCGCGGATTCCTCGTCTTGAGATCTTTAAGTAGACACATCGCACGCCTTATTTGGACGATTGGAGCTCAAGATATGAGTCAGACAACACCAACACTCCCACTGCTCGCATTTATACGCAGCAGTTCACTCAACCTCGATTATTGTCTGTAATAGTCTCTCTTCTTGCTCAGAAACCACTCAATAATGAAACTAGACTTCAAAGGCTATCCAGGGACACCTTAATCACCTTAGTTGGACGAGTACAACTCAAATTATGGAGGAGACAATCAGCACACCTAATTTGTGCGAAAATTGACTAGGTGGCCCCAAATTTGATGCCAATTGTGTCATGTGCAGCCCCTTTCCATGTTGTCCGGCCAAGGTAAGTCTTCTCACTTAATTTTCTTTGTCTTTCAGGTACTCAAGCCATGTGGAATGCTTCCCAATAGATCCCAATCAATTTGGGGTCCAAAATATCTACCAAAAACTCCCAAAATGGGAAGATGGGTCCTATTGTTTTATCCTTGTCATGAGATGTCTTTTTGTACTCACTATAATTTATATAGACCAAGTCAACTCCCTACATCATATTATTGATCTCCAATATGTGTAAGATCATCCCAATAATTTACATGATGAATATTATAGAAGAAAAAACTTACTCCCAATCTCCCATTATTTAGCTCAATAATGTCAAAGATGGGGTCATATGCATTTGTATTCTTCTCAAAGCATTCTATCACTTATTTATGACCTTGGAATTTGTATTCCTGGGCTACAAGCCATGTGGACCATCCTCGAGTGGGCCTAGGACGTCATTCTTGAATACTTACTATTTTTAGCAGGTTAGGCCAAAAATAATTCTTGGGCTGCCCGACTCTCCTTACTTTGTATCAAAGGGTCATAAATTTTTCTTTAAATAATGTTAGGCCCCTATATCCAATAAGATGGCCCAATTAAGTATTTCAAAGCCCATTACTATTATACGAGCCCAAACGGCAGTATGATCAATTATGCATTGCGTAAAACATTAATCATTTTACAACTGTCCGATAATAGAGAAGTCAATACATAAACTTTGAATTTTAAATTTAATTCCAAGGACGTTCAGGTACGGTGTCACAGAATGCCTTCACTGAAGAGGTTTCGGTCTTGTCTCCTCTTTCTTCTGTATTATTTTTTCATTAATAAAATATGGTAAATGTTCTACGACATTTACTCCACTAATTTTGGTATTTTACCTTTCGGACTCTAAAATAACTTGGTATGGGAGTAGAAAAATTAGAAAATGTAAAATAGGCAAGAAAAAAAATCCATTTCCAAATTGCAATTTCAATAGAAAATGAAAAAATGATAAAACAAAATGTAATTATTAAAAGTATAAAATAGAAGTAGGCAAAACATATACCGAGAATAGAAGGGAATCAAGGAAGGTTACAAGTTACAATAGTACAAGAATAACAGTACAAGAATACGACGTTTTGGGACGTGTGGCTGTGTAGAGTGGCTACACGTACATTTCCTCAAAGAGGAAGGTTTGCTGCGGAACTTCAAGAGTTTCATCGATTTTCATTGTTATCTTGAGAAATTAAGGGGGTTATTCTTACAGATAGCATTCCATATTTGAGAATGTAATTTCATTTTCTTTAACGTTTTTAATTCATTACTATAGTTTATTCTAATCTTTGATGGGTTCAGGTTTTTTTTTGTCTCCCAATTTGTGTTCTTTTTTACATAATAAAACTCGGTAAATGTTTTTCAGCAATTTTCCCATTGGACCTCATTGGTAGTGTTTATCTTTACTTAATACGAAGTACGTAGTATATTTTTTGAAGAAAAGGAACTTAAAGTCTTAAATAGCATCAATCAAATCGTTAATTCGTTACTAAGATCATCAATAATACGATTAGGAGGATAAAATAACCAACACCAATATTCAGAAACAGAACCTGTCATTCGTGCTATAGCGTGAGCAGCCTTGTTCGCAGAGCACCTCACATAAGAAAAGACAACACTTGTAAAACCTGAAGCAATTTCTCTAATATCTTCAACTAGAAGTCCAGATAATGAGTAGCTCAAACCCTTCTTGATTTCAACAATGGCCTGCATCGAGCCTGACACCACGTTTACCAAGTCTAAACCTTGTTCTTTCACCCAACTCAAAGCCTCCTTATACTAATCAATTCAGCCTCCAAAGCATCGCTTCCCAGGCCACAGTATCGCTCCCCCGCCATAAACTACCCATCAACATTTCGGACAATACACCCTACACCGCACTTAACTCCCCGAAGAGAAGCACCGGCATGAAGCTTCTTCCTATCTTCAGCCGGAAGCTGCCACTCCTGCCAGCGAGGGGAACTACACTGTCCCCCCCTGCTACTAACTTGCTGTGCCTAGATCCAGCCTTCAACAGAAGCCATAGTCCACTTCAAGACTTGGCTGACCTCCGATTCAACGCATCACCAAACTCGCTGGTTCCTCTCACAAGTCACACCATAAACCCCAACAGCCCCAAATCAAAATATACATGTCCTCCTTCCTTACCTGAATATTAGCCTGCAACCAGCCATGAAATGAGTCACTCGGCTGACCTGCCCAGCTAACTCCCAGATAACACCAGACTTCCCGAGCCGAAGGACACTGGACAAGTAAGTATAAAAGTGATTCGTCGCTTTCCCGTACATACCGCAAACCTCCGGACAATCCACCCTACAACACCTTAGATTAGATGTGGTTGGTAATAAACCACCACAAACCTGCCAGAAAAAGGTTTTAATTTTCGGAGGAAGCTTCTATTGCCACGCTTTCGTCCAGCCCGTCCACTCCTCATGTAACAGCCCCCCTGTAAGATGCCAATAGCAGCTCCTTACCGTAAATCAGCCATCTGTCTCCCAACTCCAAATCAACCTGTCCGGAACCTGATGTTTACTTGATATTTAATGTTAAACAGATGTATATTATTACAATCACTCTTGAAACAATTTACATTACCGACCACATAATATTTTAGGATACAAGATACTCAGAATAGTCATTCGAGATATCAGTCCAAATGTGAAGATCAATCAAGATGTGTAAGACTATTAAGATGGTATTTAAGTACACTTTGTGCAAATAATTAACTGAGATATGGTTACAAAAAGAGAAAAAACTCATTCGGTTGGTTTCCTCTTTCTCCCAAGCACAGAAGCTTTCTGCAGTCTAGGTCCACCCATCCGCCATTTCTTAAAAGCCATTATAGAGGATTGCCCAGCCTCATACACTTCAAAATGAGCATATGTTTATTAATTAATAAGTAAATAAATACTGAAAAGGTAGTCAAGATTCAAGATGACATATATAGGTAAAACAGGTTCAGCAAAACTTACATTTCATCTCTTCCTGTGTTAGAAGTGGTAATTGTTTAATAGCTACTGTAGATGCTGCAGTGTATGCTTTGATCAACACTTCTTTATATCTTGTCCGAAATGCAACCAACAGAAAAGGCCCTATTGTCTTGTCACCAATTCTGCCCAAAAATATGGTTTAGGCAATTTATCAAAGTAGTTCTAAAAGACAGAAAATAAAAGAAAACATTGTGGGAAGAAAAACATTTAGAACATCAACTTCTGATGTCAATGACATCGGCCCAATTTGGTATTTTTATGGCTTTTAAGCCACGATGCCTTTTGCCCCAAAAATAAAAAGTGTTGTAGTTTGAATAATATAGTTAAAAACAGCATTAAAACCACTACCATCAAAATATGATATGAAAAACTAGTGTTGGAATACTGGCCCAAGAAGCATTCATCCCAGGGCCGGTCCTGGCGGTTTCGAGGCCTAGGGGCGAGTGCTCTATAATAGACCTAATTTTTTAAAAAGTATTGTACTATATCCCATTCAAATTCGTCCAATTTAATTACATTTTAAAATTAATAAATTTTAAATTTTTATGAAAGAAATTTTAATACTATCACAAAATCACAATTAAATTTCATAACCATTTTTAACTAGAAAAGCTAAAACACATTCACAATTTCACTATTTGACAAAATGATACTCCGCAGTTAATACTACAACAAATTTAAAATGTACAAATTCAGGATCAAACAACAATATAAACAAATTCACAATCAGTACTTCACAATTCAACAAGATAACAATCAATAAGTAAATCAACAATAAAAAAAAAATTAAATTCGGTGATAAAAAATAAAAAGTTATCATAATTATTAACTAATAATGTATAGTATGTAAAAAAACATAGATTGGGATTTAAGGGTGGTGCACCAAAGGTAGAATAACAGAGTTGTAGATTTGTACAAGCAGAAGTGATGTGAACTTCCCGTGTTTTTACGATTTGTTTACTATTCTTCTTACTAGCTGGATGAAAATACAAGATAGGACCAAAAACTCAGCCTACTCAACCTTAATATAACACATAAATATTGGGCCTAATTTTCTATTCACTTTTTTTTGGGCCTAGGGCCGTCGCCCCTGCTGCCCTCCCCATAGGGCCGCCCCTGATTCATCCCAATACAAATGATAGGCAGACCAGCCCAGCAGATGGGTCCAGTCAAGAATCCGGGGGAAGAGCAGCACCAAGTTGACAGTAGGGCCAGCTAACCCATTGTACTACAAGCATTAACCCTAATGTGCTGCACTGCAGCTACAAGCAAACAAAATTGATTGAGGTATTGACCTCTGTGGGTCGACCAAACAGATGGTGACACATTGATGGATAGATATTATAGAGTGGTATAAACTGTAAAACACATCCCCGGCAATCTCAATGGAAGGACAACTGATGTTCCAGTAGAGGCCTGTGGGGCTCTGACCAGGCGCCAGGTCATTGATCATCCTCACCTATAAACACGAGCTCCATTCCTCTGAGTTGAGGTGAGACTCTTGAGACTTAGCATTAGAAGAGTAACATAAAGCAGAAGCTGTCATTCGCATGTGCTTTCATACTTAAGATAGACTTGTACTGATTGGCATTGGGTGAGTTGTTAGTGGAGAGTTCCTTTGGGTCATTGATCCATATTTGTTGTTGCTTCCCAGGTGTCATTACTTAGACACTTTGTATCTTCAACCCAATCCAAGAACACCCAAGAACAAGTGTTGAGTTCTTGGACCCAACTAGACATTATATTAATCTCTATCACCCAGCTTTTGACAAATTATTGCAAGATAATTAGTTTTAAAAATATACATAAACTAGACCAGAGATTATATTTCAGACATGAAAACTAGATCACATCAAAAACGTTCAAATCAAATTAGATCAGACCAGACAAAAAAATTGGACCAAATCCTATGAAGATTCATACAAGATCAACAAGATCTAAATAAAATCAGATCAAATAACACGTTTTTCAGGTGAAGAGAACAGGTCTTTAGAAACATAGAGCACGGCATAACTTTTTTGGTGCACATTGTAGAACTTTAGAAGATAGATCTTTGCTTAAACATATTTATATGGCCTCATTTGCATGGTTTAAGAAGGTTCTTAAGAGGCGCGATTTGAGGTCAGGATGGATATTGAGGCCGACACAGTTATTGCAAAATGAGAGGCTTAAGTACTAACAAGACAGTCAAGGCGTACCCCTCACATCTAAAGGCACTTTTTGAGGCAGGAGCCTTGTTTCTCCTTTGGGCTGTGCTACAGTAAGTAACACATCCCATACAGTATAAAACTTAAGAAAGAATTATATAAGGCATATATCTGATGTCCATACAGGTCCCATGCAGTATCTTTCTCTATACAAAAGGAAGAGTGAAAACTGGAATTTTCCCGCCATAAGATACAGGTTGAAAATGGGTCAACCTGGGTAAAAAGGGTCTGATCGTGCCAGCTGTATGAAGGGTTCAATCGTTCAAGTGTATTTAATGCTCATCTAATGAATATGTAGGTTTGAATAATTGAAATAGCTTAATTATTCAAGAGTCAGGGAGGTGTATAAATACACATGTACAGGAGGTTACAGATCCTAAAAAATAGGATCAGAACTAAATGCTAGGAACAGAATAACAACTAAGCTATCTTATCCCTAAAAGACTAAACGTACTCTAACTAATTATACTTCAAATTATATACGTAATACAACATTGTTTACGTAAATCCACACTCCCCCTCAAGTTGGAGCGTATATATCATACATTCCCAACTTGCTAACAAGTACATCAAAGGTCGGTTTAAATAGACCCTTTGTTAGAATATCTGCCGTTTGATCTTGTGAAGGTACAAATGGAATGCAGAATGTTCCATTCTCGAGTTTCTCCTTTATAAAATTCCGATCTATTTCGATGTGTTTAGTTCTGTCATGCTGTACAGGATTTTGAGCTATGCTTATTGCAGCTTTGTTATCACAGAACAACTTCATGGGCGGTCTGTTTTCAATTTTTAAGTCCTTGAGTATTTTGCTGATCCACACAATTTCACAAGCTCCATTTGCCATGGCTCTGTATTCTGCTTCGGCGCTACTTCTAGCCACAACAGTCTGTTTCTTGCTCTGCCAGGTGACCAAGTTTCCCCATACAAATGTGCAGTAACCTGATGTGGATCTTCTGTCTGTCACCGATCCTGCATAATCAGCATCTGTAAAGGCTACAACAGACCTGTTTTCTCCTTTTTTTAAATAAAAGGCCTTTTCCTGGACAACCCTTCAAATACTTAAGTATTCTATAAGCAGCTTCAAGATGTTCTTCACATGGTTTGTGCATAAATTGACTTACCACACTCACAGCAAATACTATGTCAGGGCGGGTATGAGATAGGTAAATTAATCTACCAACCAGCCTCTGATATTGCTGAATGTTGACTTCAATCCCTCCATTTCCTCCTCCTAATTTCTTATTTGCATCAACTGGAGTATCCACTGGCTTACAACCACTCATTCCTGTATCCACAAGTAGGTCTTGAACATATTTTTGTAGTGACACAACTATCCCTTTGCTGGAACGTGCTACTTCCATAGCAAGAAAATATTTCATCTCGCCTAGATCCTTGATGTCAAATTCCTGTGCCAACTTTTTCTTTAGCCTTGTTACTTCTACTTGGTCATCTCCAGTAAGAAGTATGTCATCTACATAGACAATGAGAACCGCCATCTTTCCATCTCTTGAATGTTTAGTGAACAAAGTGTGATCATCTTGTGCCTGCACATATCCCTGCTGTTTCACCACTTTAGTAAATCTCTCAAACCACGCCCTTGGAGATTGTTTTGATCCGTACAAGGCCTTCTGCAATCTACACACTTTAGAGCCGAACTTTGTTTCAAATCCGGGTGGCGGTAGCATGTAGACTTCTTCCTCCAATTTGCCATTTAAGAAGGCATTTTTAACATCAAGTTGATTTAATGGCCAGTCCAAATTTGGTGCAATAGATAACAGAATTCGAATGCTATTTAGTTTAGCAACGGGAGCAAAGGTTTCCGTATAATCAATACCGTAAGTTTGTGTGAATCCCTTGGCTACTAAACGGGCTTTGTAGCGTTCGAGAGTTCCATTGGCATTGAATTTTGGAGTAAAAATCCATTTGCACCCTACTGTTGGCTTTCCTTTCGGTAATTCTGTAACCTTCCATGTTTGGCTTAGTTTTAAAAGGCGCGAGGCGGCACGAGGCGTTTTCATTGATATACCCGAGGCGCGAGGCGCGAGGCGACGAGGCGCGCGCCTCACGGATCTTAACATCATATCTTTGGTAAGATATATAGTATACTATTTCTAGTCTTCTACATGAAGCACTCATCTCAAAAAATGATAACATCACAAAAATACTTCAAACTATTAAACAATCTTAACATACATCATAAGACAAATCAAATATTTATTAAGACAATAGCAAGAAATAAATATCAAACGGCTTCATTGGCAAGAGTCAAGTCAGAAAACTCAATCTTAAAATTTCAAAACATAATTAATAAGATGTTATATAAAAAATTGTTAATAATAAAATCTGTCTTATATATTTGTTAAATAAAATCAAATATTTAGGTACCCTACTCAGCATGATCTAGAACAGACCAACAGAGGTAGTAACACTACAATTTCAAGATAATAAAATATAAAATAATACATACTTAATTAGTAAACTATCACACGTATAAGAGAACAAACTGTAGAAGAGAAGAAATAAATACTTACCTGCGACTACTCTGTGACGCGAGAAAGTAGCGGAAGAAACAGACTTGCGAGTCTTGCTACGCGAACAAGAAACAGGACCGCAGATGTGGGAACTCGGAAGCAAACCAAATGCAGAAGGAAGAAGGGAGAAGACTAGAGACTCAATCGCCAAAAGAGACATCCATGATGCGTGAGAAGCGCGCGCCTCTCAGAGGCGCAAAAGGCGTCAAAAAGCACCATATAAGGCGCGTCTCTTGGAACCTATGCCGCCTGGGGGTGGAAGATGCGATAAAGTGATCGCCTTAGGGCGCCTCGCGCCTTTGCGCGCCTCAGGCACGCTTTTTTAAACCAAGATGTTTGGTTCCTTTCTAGTGCACTCATCTCCTCAAGAACGGCCTTTTTCCA